ATATATATATATATATATATATACGCGTTACATTCCATCATGCTGGAGGGAAGGAGAAGTTTGAATCAAGGCAGTTCGAGGCACTCTTGAAAAGGAAGAATTCAAAGCTCGTCGCAACGTGTGTTGAACCCTTTTTTTCCTCTGGTTTTTTCCTTCAGTTTTCGATTCAGCAACAACACAGATAGCAGCGAAATTGTAGCGGAAACCATCGTGAAAGCGAATACAAACTAGCAAACCTGCAGGACTCACACTATTTCGTTTGGGCAGCGTAGAAGGCCAAGCTCGTCCACATAACATCCGCCCACACCTTGTGATACTCTGCCGCCGTTTCGGCACGCTTGGACTCCTCCTGTTCCTCGTGATGCTCCACACGGAGCTGCGATGCACCAAGGTGCGCGTATTGAAGCAACGCTTCCACTTCACGCCGTCGGCGAAGATTATCGGCCTTTGATAACCCGGCGAAAGCGGCACTCGTCGAAACGGCGGAGTCGCAGGAAACTCCACCCTTCCTGAAAGGCGGGATAGACGACCGCGGGGGACAGGGAGCCCACAGCGCTTGCGCCATCCGCGCTACATCGCTCCGGACGACGTCACTGTCGGGGCGGCCGCGGCTCTCTTTCGGCGTCGCGCGAAGGTGCGGCTGCGTGGAGGAAACGCGGGGTAAGGCGATGGGCTTGTAAGCGCGCAGCCACCCCCTGCATGTGCGTCTCGATGGACGATCGCCACCCAAACCCGAGGTGCTGTCAGGCGCTGCCTCGCCTACGGAGCTGTCCGAGGCGGACGAGCACACAAGCGCGGCCTCGCCATCGTCGTCGCCATCGTCCTCGCTGCCTGAGAGTCTTTCGTCGGTGCGTGCGCGCTTGTTCGTGGCTCTGCCCCTGTTTGAAGAAGAAATATGGGGATGACAACGATACAGTGACAGCTGCTGCTGCTGCGTGGAGCACCGAGGGCGCAGGGCGGAGGGTGGAAGCGGCATCGTTCTGCCTCGGACGTGCGCGTCGTTCCGCGCATCGTGGGCGGCGGCGACTTGTGCTATGGCGGGTGCGTCTTCCTTTCTTCGCCTTCGCTTCCACGGCGCCCCACGCACCTCTGCCCCTGCAGCCTCCGAAGAGGTCGTACCCACACCGCAACACGCAGCTGCGGAGGAAGCAGCCACGGCATCCTCGACTTTCTGGTAAGGTCGGTAGCAACCGAGCTCTGAAGGCGGTTCATCTCGATTACGTCGAATGTCTGGAGGAGGCGATGCATGCAGCGGCGACGCGCACCGCACATTATAACCTTCGTCGTCATCGCGCTCCTCCCCCACCATGTCCTTTTGCGGAGCTCTTTCTTCATCCGCGGCTCCGCCGGAAGCACGACGCGGCGCACGGAGGAGAACCGCCCGCCACCCCGCGTGTCTTAATGAATCATCTGCGGACACGCACGACAGCGAATAAGCAGATGAACAAGCTACACGACACGGCGCCATCGCCGCCGTCGCCGCCGCCGCACCCTCTTCGGGTGTCCTACGTGAAGGGAAAGACCGCACATCATCGGGCGAGGGCGTTGATCGGCCGCGGTGCGCGCCGTACATCGCAGCCGCACCGGCAACACCCGCGCCTTCCTCCGCGGCGTTCATCACACTCTCCCCGTACGACGCTTCACTGGAGTTCAGCGCATTCGTTCCAGTGACGTGCGCGGCGGTGTATCGCTGTGATGTCGAGGCAGGGTGTCTGGAGGTGGCGCGGACGGCCGGCACCGCTTTCACCTGCGGGTGCAACGGACGACGTCGCTGCAGTGGCAATGAAGGCTGCATCGTGGCCGAGAAACGACTGGGAATGGCACGGAGGTGTGTGTGCTCCAGCAAAGCTGAGATGCCTCCTTCTTGCACCAGCGGAGCGGACCGTTCCACTTCGAGAGGTGGAAGGTGGAGCCTGAAAAGAAAATAAATAAGGGCAATAAGAAAACGGCGGTGAAGTAAGAAAGAAGAAAGCAGTTCGAGATGGATTGATTTCAGCACGCCGCGCTTCAGTTAAATCATCGAGGGAGCGAGAGTCCAATGACGTTGTCTACAGCTTCACGGAGCAACGTCTCACGCATTCCCCCCACACGTCCACCGTACACCAAAAGCCCGCGCCAAACCTACTCGCTGCGCTCTCTTTCTGGAGATTCCAAACTAGGGGGGAATGGGCAACAACACACCACACGGTGGACGCGTCCCATTCCGCCGGTGCCAATCGAGGTCGTCGCACATTGCCGTGCATATACATATATGAAAAATAAAATTCGGAGATGGACGCCCGCCACGTCACCCCTGCCGCCCCTTCTCGCCCCTCATTTCCTCTCGCTATCGTTGTTTTCTTCTTGTTATTACCACTTGAACAGAGCCATGGAGAGTTGCTTCACATCCTACACCAATACAAATATACACGTGCGTGTGCGCACACGTCAGTACACGACGCTGCGCCATTCGATGGGTGGTGGTGTAGGCGCATATATCAAAAGGCTGCACGCACAGAGCGGTGGCGGACGAAGGATTCTTCGGGAAGACAATAATAGTAACGGCTGTGGATGCGGAGGGCACAACGGAGCAACAGGAATGACGCCGACGAGGTGAGCACGCACTCGCCATCGAGGAGGAAAAGCGAAAAAGGGGAGAGAGGGGACACCGCCTCCGCCCGAACGCAGCGACGCGCCGTAAAACACAACGATGTAAACTAGAAAATGAAAGGTGCTAGCGGTGCAGCACGGAGAAGCAACAACAACAAGAGCCATACAATGACGCGACTCGCGCACAGCGGAGGTGGCCAACAACCCACTCGGCGTGGAGCAAACCCCAGTACGCAGAATACAGCCCCCCTCCCACCCCCCCCCCTCCTCAAGTGCGTCAGCTCGGTTTGGTTCGCTTCCCCCCTTTGACCAACGCAGCGAACGACCAACACCAGAAGTAGAGAACAGAAAAACTCGGTACAGAAGAAAAAGAGAAGAAGTGACACGTTGGAATCCTTTCAATCGAACAGCAGAGAAGCATTGGAGCCGCTCCAACACACACACCATCACCTCCGCCAACAACAACAGGACTGCCCGTCGCCTTACAACAGACGGAGCTGCTGCACCTGTTCCTCCAACACGTTCGCGTTGCCCGCGCGCTGAAACATGCCAATGGCAAAGGCAGCTGTGCCACCCACCGAGGCGGCGATGTTCAGCGCGGACGACACCCACGTCGTGGCCCACAGCGGACGCAGGGCGAGTGCCTCGGCAATGGCGGCAAAGTCCGGGCGGTCCTCCTCCGCAAACGCCCTCACCGCGGCCGCCACCGCCGAGGCCGCGTCCTCTTCCTCCTGCCGTGTACCCGCCCTCGCACCAACCCCCGCCGTGCCAGCAGCAGCAGCGTCAGCGCTATCACTTGTTAGCGGCATTTTGACGCCCCTGCGGCCTTCCGTCGCTGCACCTCCGTGCGAGGAGGAAGACGGTGAAGAAACGTACGGAAGAGGGATGTGCACATGACGCGTCACCCAGCCGGCCGCCGCCGTCAGCTGTGCCTTGACCCCCTGCAGCGATGCCGCCGGCTTCTGCTGCTTTGTCAGCCGCGCCGCTTCCCGCGCGCTGACCGCGGCGATGTTGTACATCTGCTCTAGCATGGCGGCGGTGCGGCTCTCCTCTTTGACGGTGAGGCGGTGCAGCACCCACAGATTCGTCAGCACAATCAACACCGACGAGGCCGCCATGAAGCGCGTCGTGCGGATCTGCGAGCGCAGCTTCGCCACGTAGCTCTCCAGGTACTCGAGGACCGTCTCCAGCACCTTCAGCTCGTCCGCGGTGAGCGTGGGCGAGGGCGTGGCGGCCAACTTTGCGGCGGACAGCGTCACCGGCGACGCCGTCGGCTCCACTTCATCGATCCGCATCCCGAGCATCGCCGCCACTCCGTAGTGGTCCGACAAGGGGTACAAGTCCGCCGACGCGTCCGCGACGGTCTTGCCGCCCCCTGTGCGCCTGCCGGTGAGGAGCTGGTGCCAGACGGAGCCCCACCAGCTCGGGTGCGCAGGGACGTACACCTCGTTCCGCGTGAAGATGACAAGCCCAATCGGCGCCCCGTTCACCTGCCGTGGGTAGGCCTCCTCCACATCGGGGCAGCTCGCGAACTCGCGCAGCGCAAAGGCGGGCCGTGAGAAGAACATGTGATCAATCTGCGAAGGGATGTCCGCCTCCAGCTTCAACAGCTTGAAGTACGACGAGCTCATCGTGTTGAAGGCGTTGCGGTTGGAGAAGGTGAAGAGGCGCAGGCCTCGATCGCGCTCGACCTCGTTGGTGGCCGTGTCCAGCAGCGCCCGCGGGGTCGGCAGCACGGCGTGCAGGTCGTACCCGTGCTTCCGCAACAGGATCAGCATCATCTGCACCTCCAGCGACCGCTGCGAGCAGTTGAAATCACCACCAATAATGACTCGATCGGTCGGGCGCGAGGTACTCATGATTAAGTTCGCGAAGGAGATGACCTGTGAGATGCGGTAGGGCAGGTAGCGCTCCCTCTTCCACGAGGACAGCTGACTCACTTTCTGGTAGATGGCGACGAGGTGCGTGGTGTACAGCGTGACCTCCTGCAAGGTGACCGCGTCGCCGTTCTCGCCGCCGGGAACTGGCACATCGACACGCACCATCGCCGCCCCTTTGTTCGCGAAGAAGTCGCCGTGCAGCACCATTTCTGGGTAACCTTGCAGGGGGTACGTGTGGAAGAAGGCCTGCTTCACTGGGTAGCGCGAGATCACCGCGCAGCCGGACCCGTAGAACGAGCTGCGGAAGCGGCGGAAGTAATAGCTCTCCTGCACCTCCGGTGGGGCGCTGTGCCGGATGAGGTCAAAGTCGGCCGGCGAGAACTGCTCCTGCAGCAGGATGATGTCGTAGTTGCGGATCTTGGTTGCGAAGACCTTCATGCGTGCCTCGCGCATCTTCGAGTTGAAGATGCCCCACAGGTTGAAGGTGGCCACGCGCAGCGGCACCTCGTCCGTCATCGGCATGTGCGTCATCGGCTTCCTCTTCTTCTTCCAATCCCCTTTTTTTTTGGGGGGGGGGGCCTTTGATGTGGCTGCGGTTCTTTACTGGTTTCTCTTGCACACTCTCTTCTTAGTGTTCCACGAGGCAGGCAAACAGAAGAGAAATGGCTGCCGGGTTGAAGGCGTCGGCGTCCACAGCGCGTACAACCCACTCCGAGCAGAGATATGAAAGAAGAGCAAGCAGCAATAATATTAACAAATGAAAAGAAGAAGCAAGGAACTAGGCCGACGTGGCGGCGCGACGAGTGCGCGGTATTCCCCCCTCCGCAAAGATAAAGAAAAAAGAGAAGAAGAGTTACGAGCAACAGAACGCCTTTTGCTTTGGACAGCACTTGTTATGAGCCGTGTCTGCTGCTGCTGCTGCTGCTGCTGCTGCAAGAGGGGGAGAGACGCACCGCGCTAATCTCCGCTCTGACGAGGTCGCAGAGAAGCGAAAGAAAAAAAAAAACAGCTGGCAATCAAGCACGTGTGCGCTCGTATAAGTCGTGCTCAGTGACGCTGATGTTTTTTTTTCCCTTGTTTTATATAGTGTTGAAAACTGCAAAATGAGAGACCAACAACGGACGCAGCTGGTGGCGGTGGTGGAACAGGATGTGTGCAGCGGCAACGCAGCAAAGCAACAGGGGGAGAGAGAGAAGAAGAAAGTGGAGGAGGGTGTGTGGGTGGTGGACATGGCAGCAAGCATCTCCAACACGTTCTTCGCTGCTGCTTCCATAGAATCTGATAGGCAACCACACCAACACTGTCCGCTGTCGTCCTAGATTTCCTGCTCCACCAAATGGAGCCAACGTCCAGCGCAACAGGAAAAGAATCAAGTCTCGACAACGTACCCTGTGTGTGTGTGTGTGTGTGTCAACGGCTGAGAAGAAGAAAAAGGCAACGAGGCACACACACCCCTTCTTCTTCGTTACACGAGTGCAATGCTCGAAGTGCATTGCCTTTCGGTTGTGGTTGCTGATGTTGATGTTGAGGCCCCAATGGAGGGAGAGAGGCAGTTGAGGGGGTGTCCCGCGAAGGAGCCACCTCTCTTCTACAGTAGAGTACACCAACAAGCAAACGAAATACCACGTTTCTCCCCCGGCATCACGACAGCAGGCGCCGACACAACTCTGTCGTCGTGTACAATCGTCTGTTTTTCTTCCTCTCATCTTTCTTTCTATAACTATCAAGGGCCTCCTCCCCGCATTTACTCCTGTGTTCCCCTCCATCCCGTTCGTCTACCGCTGCTTCTTCGACTCCGCCGGCCTCGAGAAGAAGCTCAGCTCCGATTCGATCGGCACTAAGCGCACCTCCTCCGGCTCGAGGGCCAACCGCCCAACACGCAAAGAGGCGTAGATGATGCAGCTGACGTAGATGCCGCAGGCCACCGCGCATTGGTAGATGAAAGCGCGCAGCGCCGCCTCGCCAGTGCTGGCGTGCATGTTCCCAAACCGGCTGGTGAAGGTGTAGAGGTGGCTGCTGGACGAAGCGAAGCTGCCCGACGGCGGAAGGAGCTGCACCGTGAGTAGCAGCCACAAACACACCGAGGCGACGCCCCCACACGTAAAGAGGACTGATGACGACAAATCAAGGCTCGCCCACCGCCGAAGCCTCCACAGGGAGAGCGCGACGCCCCCGCTGCCTACCCCAATCACCATCTGCCGCACCACCGTCGGGATAACCGTCCAGGAGAGGGCGCCGGTGCTCAACACCGAAGCGACGAAGATCATCTGCAGCCACGTCACGTCCGCCGCGTGTACCAAACTGGGGGCGACGGCCGAGGTGCACCAGCGCGACGCTGGCAGCGGGCGCGGATCGTCGCCGTCCTGCTGTGTCAGCGCTGACGGATCGTTGTGCTGCTGCGTGCCCTCCGCCTTCCTCCCCGCCGTGGTGGAGGACGACGGCAGCGGACAGAAGGCGAGGGGGTGCGCACGTCGCAGCACAGACGCCACCACGTACACCGCCGCCAGCAGCGAGCTGCACGGGAGCGCCAACACGCCACTCGCCGGCCCGTTGCGCATGAAAAGCGCAGTGCCAGACAGTATCGCCAGCGACAGCATCCACGACAACAGTACCACCTGCTTCACGACGTACTCCTCGCGGCAGAGGCAGGTGACGACCTTCGCCCGCTTCCCCTCGCTGCCATCGGCAGCGGCGGACGTGGAGGACGGTGGAGCAGCCGGTGGAGGGGCGCTACCACGACTCGCACCACTTCGGCCACCACCACCACGACGGGAGAGCCGCTTCGCTTCCCAGTACGCGTGCTGCTCCGCCTGGTGCGCCGCCCGCTCTGCCGCGTAGCGCACGGGCGTCTCAAACGTCAACGGTGGCTTACGAATGCGGTAGAAGGTCAGCGTCAGCACCGACGCCGCGTTCCCCAGCACCACCATCACCACCGTCGCAAACTCCAGCCAGCGGGCGCTCTCGCGGTGGACGTAGTCGTCCTCGATGGCGAAGAGTTGGGTGAGGGCCTGCGCGGCGTGCGTCCACGGCAGGCCGAACCACTCCGACAGCTGCCACGCGTTGGCGGCAGGAAGCGCACAGCTGAGGTACGAAGGAGACGGCCCGCTTAGACAACGCGCCTGCATCTCACGTGCCCCGGTAAACGATCGTCCCATCAAACCTTCCAAACTACTGCTGTGATTCTGCCGGCTTTGGTGCGCTGCTGTGGGAAGCGGCGGCCCCGCAAAGAGATCCATGAAGGCCAGCAGTGGCTGCTGCCGCCACCACCACGGCGTAGTGAGGAGCAGCACCGTCAGTACACTGGACATGGAGGCGCAGCAGAAGCACGCGTTCATGTGCGACTTGTCGGTGTAGGAGGAGTAACCTACGCGGACGTAACCGCCGCTCCTGTCGGACGTCACGGCGGTGGTGGAAGCCGTGTCCGCTGCGGAAGCCTTCACCTTCACCAGAACACGCCGGGAGCCGTGCTGCCAGCACGAGGTGAGGGCCCACAAAAACAGCAGAGGCGTGATGTACAGACACGATGTGAGGCTGAGAGAGGTGAATGTGGCGATGACCACGTAGCTCGCGAGGGGCACCACGCTCGGCTGCCGCTTCAGCGGATATACCACCACCGCACCCTCCTGCATAACAGGCGAAGCGAGATCGAAGGGGTCATCGCTCATGTCTGACTCACGTGGGTGCAGCTGCAGCTCATCGCGCAACACGGCATAGACGGCCCAGATAACAAGAGAGCCCACCAGGCACCACGGCTGCAGCGTGCATACCTCCAGTAGAAGCAGCGGCAGCAAGCCCGCCCCAACGATCACCAACGCGCCAAAGAAGACCGCCGCGTCGTGGACGCTGGGTGGCGTCGCGTCCTCCTCCTCCACTTGTATGGGGGCCGCTTTCACCTTCCCCTTTACACCACGCGCCCCCTCGGCGTCCTCCGTAGCTGGAGGAGAGGAAGACGACGACGGTGACGACGACGCTGAAGCGGGGAGCTGCATGCGTGCCACCCGCACCCGCTCCCGCGCTGCTCGGGTCAGCAGCTGTGACACGGCCCGCATGAAGCACCAACTCCCTGGTGCACCGATCAACACGACGCAGCCCGCCGCAACGGTGGCGATGGCCTGCTGCACGCGGAGTGCATCTGCGTATCTACCGTCCGCGAGCCCGTTACCATCGTCGCTGTTTGGCAGGAGTCTGCGAACAAGATCCGGCTGCGTCCACCGCAGCCACTCACCGCTGAGACGCAAGTACAAGACGTGGAGGGGCAGAAGGACGCGGCCCTGCTCCACGACCGAGGGTGGCAGTCGCCCTGCCACTCCCACCGTGTCGTAGGAGGCTGCGTCGTGCAGGTACCATCCGCGATACGGCTGCGTCAGCGAGCGGCGCAGCCAGTAGAGCGCGAGGTGCACATCTGGTGAGGTGACCGTGATCGTGTCACGCGGCAAGCTCGTCGTGAGGAAGAAAGAAGGGCCTTCGGTGCAGAGGAGCACCGCCAGGCCGCAGAGGAGCCCGACGACGAGCTCAAACCCAAGAAAGAGGCGCATGTTGGCCTTTTCGCTTTCCTCTATGTTATAATGGAAGGAAGGGAGAGACAGGCGGAGAAGGGAAAGGTGGCGTTCGCAGCCGCGTGAACATGCGGAAAACATCTGCTAAAGAGCGACGACGAAGACCGGTGTGCGAGTCCCGTAGCACCCCTTCATCGAGGTGCAATGACTGTGACGATGTACGATGCAACACACGATGTGCTGAGGCTTCTCTGTGTGGGCGTGTGTGTGTGTGTTCTTCCTTCCAAGTCGAATCCCGCCTTTGAGGCGGCAGCGCGCGTGAAGAAGGAAGAGGTGGGTACACGATGTATAAACCAACGGAGGTAGCTGAGCGCAGCGGTGCGCGTCACGTAGCCGGCTCTTCCTTTGCGGCTTCCATCAAATGGATCTAACCCATGTCCTACCCTAATAACCGCAGAGAGGAAAACAAAGTAAAGCACACGAAGAGAAGAAAGACCTGCTTCTAGCGTACAACGGCACGAATGCAGTACCCAACGTCAACGAAGCATTCCAGCAGACACGGTGTGACGACAGCGGACCAACTCCAGCTGCGGAAGCAAACATCACTCATACACACACACACTGAGAGAGAGAAAATGCATATACGAAAGAAAACGCGCGATATCCACCAGGAAAATAATATGAAGAGAAGGGGCTCGCCGCAAAAACAATGAGTGAGCGACGAACTGCACTGCTAAGACACGTAAAGATGGGCTAAAGAAATCAACATCGTCAACAACAGCAGCGACACCACGGTGAAAGCAGCTGTGTTTTTTTCTTTGGGGTGGGGGACTGTAGTCGTCGTGTTTCCTTTCTCATTTCGCTTAGCAGTTGGCGGTCTGATCTCCCGCCTTCGGCAACCACGGGGCGGTGCGGTTCACGGGGTACGACATCCGCATGTGCATCTCCGGCCGGCGCATGTGCACACGCGGCTGCAAGAAGCGGCGCGCCTCAAGTGGGATGTCCATTGGCAGCTTGATGGCCACCTGCCTCTGCTGCTCCTCCATCAACTTCACCGCCTCGTTCAGCCAGTTCACGTCGAGCTCCTTCGTCTGCTCGATGTGATCATGAATTGCCTGCTGGTGGGCGCTGCCGACCTTCACCTGGTCATGCACCATGTGCGTGAGCTCGCTCATCTGGGCTGCCGTGACATCCGCAATCTTCTGCGCTGGCACGCCGGCCCACAACTCCCCCGCGTACACGCGCGCGTCCTTCGGCACGGCCGACCCCGCCGCGACAATCGCGTTGTTCTCCACCACGGCCCCCAACGCAATGGAGGCCCCTGGGCCGATATACACGTTGTCGTGCACCTCGCAGCAGTCCAGCGAGGCGCCCACGCCGATGTACGTGGTGTGCCCGACGCGCACCTGCCCCATCAGCGTCACACGGTCCATCACAACGGTGTGGTCGCCGACAACCGTCGCGTCCTTCGTGTGGTAGTTGCGGAGGACGGAGTGGTAGAAGATGGTCGTGTCGTGGCCAAGTACGACGTTGCCGACGACGTACGCACTCGGTGCGATGAAGCCGGCGTCCTGCGTCCACGGCAGCATCCCACGGTAGGCGCGCACGTTCTGGTGCCGCATCACCGGGTAGGGGTGCCGCTTCGTCTGCATGTAATGAGCGATGATGGAGAGACGGCTGCCCACGTCCTTCAGCATAAAGCCGAAGTAAGGGAAGAAGCCGGGGACAACGGTGGCGTTGTTCGGCATGGCGCGTGCAGATACAAATAATAATTAATAAAGCGAGAGAAGTGAATGACTCGCGTTGCGACGTGCAGCGGCTCTGAAAAGCGAGAAAAAAGAAATTAGTAATACGAAGTTCGGGTGGTAATTGCCGAGGAGCGGCAGAGGAATAGCGCCGGGCAGCGAACTCCAAAAGAAAAGAAAAGGCAAGAGAAAATCTTAAAATCCTACGTTTCCCGAACTCTGCAGGGGAAACCACAATCGATAGATGCTACTCTACGCTAACTAAAGAATACCTCCCTATCAACGCTTGTTTAACGTGCGTGTGTGTGTGTGTGTGTGTGTGTGTGTGCACGTGGTTGAGGAGCGGTTCTCCGTGAATGCGCGCTGACGACTGACGGAAGTCACCAGAAGCTTTCCTGCATTCCCTTGCTTTTGTGTTGGAGAGGCGAGAGAGGCAGGAGAAGATATCGCAGGTGGGCGTGTTTTATGACACCGCGTTGAGGCCGGTAAACAGCGGCGAAGAGGGAGAGAGGACAACGAGCAGCCGATAAGACAGCGGTTGTAAGGCGGAAGGGTGCGACACCGTGGAGAAGGCGTGGAGGAAAAGAGGCGTCACAGCAATAAAATATGATCCGTGGGCATGTGGGACTTCGTGTCTACGTGCTTTTTTCTTCTTCATTTTAATCATGTGAGAGTGCCGCCAGAAGATGCCTTTCCAAGTACTCCGCGGGTTGGCGGTCGTGCACCTCTCCGCTAGGCAACGGTGACGCTGTTCAATACTAATCCGTTGCTTAAGGGGGCGCTATACGGCCGCGGTAGCTCGGCACTGCCAGGAGAGCTGCATGACGGAGTTTTCTTTTCATCGCTTTGATTATTCCTTCCGTTCCTTTGATTACTTAGCATTACGGAGGACACCACTGGCCGAACCAGCTGTGATGGGTGTAACAGAAGGAAAAGCAAACAAACACAGAGGAGAGAGAGAGAGAGAATGCCGTGATTGCTGTGAGTCCGCCCCTTCTTCCATTCCTCAACGTGGGAGACGGAGCGGCTTTCCAGTCATCGCGTGCATGAAGCAAGAATTCTTCCATTTAACAATAAGAAGGAGAGAAAGGGAAAAAACAAAAAGAACGTTAGGCGCACCGGCGCGGCTTCCTCTCTCTCCTCTCGCTTAGGATGGAATGCGTGTACAGCGGGGGAAAGGTAGAGAAGGGATCGTGGTGCATGAGCTCCCGCCTTCGTCAAGCAGGGGGAAGAGCATGAAGAGGTGCACCTGTCCACCTGACGGCAAACAAAGATGATCTCAACAGCTGATGTTTCTCCCGCCTCCGCTGATTCTTTTCTTCTTTCTTCTTTATTGACCTTGGGGAGTGAGGAGATGCCGGCGAAAGCTATGAAGCAATAAAAGCTTCCACGCAAACACACACACACACATGCGCGGCTGTACGCACTGGCGTGCTCGGGAGACCGCTGCGGTGCGGGTACGGGGGCGACAGTACAGGAGCGGTGACTTCCACGGTGTTGGTGCGTAACACACCTCAAGTCCGCCAAAAAAAATTAAAAGGAAAAAAGCGGAACCCATAAAAAAAAAAACTCCACACGGAAGCCCAGCAGAGCAAAACGGAGTTATCGGATGAACGAACCGTTGTCGCCATCGCGAAGCTTTCTCCCCCATTCAGAAATATATATCTATACGTTGATGACCCAAGACGACACAAATACGGAGATACTGTGCTCGGGCGGGGGGCAGGAGTCAACACACACACCCACACAGACAGACACACACACACACACACGGCAGCGACAACAACAAACAGAAATGCTTAGAAAAAAAAAAAGCGGGCCACGATGTCATCGAGATGAACCTCCCGAAACGCTAAGACGATCATCACCATCATCATTCGAAAAAGGAACAGAAGGGGGAGGGAAGACTTCATAAGTCGAAAATCAATAAATAATAGGAGAGGAAAACATCGCTTTATCAACTAATAGGCGTGCTCGCTCTTCTCATGTGCGCGCGTTTTCCCTTTCAACGAGGCGGACAGCAGGAACACACAGAGGGAGATGCCCAGTAAAACTTATTAAATGAAAGAGGAACAGCGAATTGCCTACGCAAGACATGCACGCGCGCATCCATACAACTGCTCAACAGCAATAATAATAGTAATAATAATAAAGACCGTGGAAGAGAAAAATTTTTTTTGCTTCAACTATGAAAGTAAAACAGCGTGAGAACGGAGAAAAGAAGAAAAAGCCTTACAAACAGCCAGGGAATTAACCAGTGGCAGTGCTGCACGCCGTACACACACACACACATACACACGCAAATTGACACAGACAACTAGAGGCGACCGCCAAAAACAAGAGGAGAAAGAAGCGTGACAACATCGCGGGAGAGGCTGAAGGAATTGCAGTAATGAGAATAGACGACAACGGAAGAGGGAGCGTGCGATTACAAAAGTGAGAGAAAACGTTTTCCTTAAAAAAAAACAAATATTGAAAGAGACAACGTTAAAAAATGGAACCTGTCTTCCTGCACTCTGCGCCCCTCCACAACAACTTGTCAGCGAGGTGACGAGAACAGCCAGATAGGCATCCGCATCGTGCGTTTACGCAGCGCCGCCACATACACACACACAAACATACCCGCTCTCCTCGCGAAAAGGAAAAACAATTGCACTGAGAAAGTTACTGTGACGAGCTATTTCTTTTCTTATTTCTCCTTTCTGCGTGTTTTACATGGAAGACGAAATCATTTTGCTCACAGTCATGACTGCGATAACAGGCAGCAGACGAGCAGCGAGACGGCGTATGCAAATAGGATATATAAATCTGTATATATAGGTAATGTAGGACCGAATGAGCAAACAAGAGAACACCTAATGAGGTTGTTGTCTGTTCCTCAATTCCACGTGAAGGCATCGCGGGCGGACACCAGCTAAAACAAGTAGCGAGAAGACATAATTTAATAAAGGAGAAGAGTCGCGTGCTTTCACGGCACACAGCAATCGACCAAAGCAAGAGAAAACGGTGAATAGATAAACAGATAAACATATATACATGCGGGCAGATGTGCCGGACACCTCTGACGTTACCACAATTCATGAGATTTTCTTTTTCTCAAAGAAGAAAAAAAAAAGAGAACGTTACACAAACCATGGAACAACAACAAAAGAGGGTAGCTGGAAAGTGCGGAGTACGTTGACGCGTGTCACACCAACATGTGCGTTTTCCCTCCTTCTTTCCTTTAAAAGCTTTGCGCTGTTTCACATCTGCGGAAAAAAAAACCCGACTCCGAAAGAGTGAAAGAAACGGAGAACGACTGCGCTTCGCAGCAACGACGACAACAACAGCAAAAGCCTCTAAGATGTAAAAACTGGCTGAAAAAACCGCAGCGAATGGAATGAAAATGCAGAAGGACGCCGCA